AAAGCGAGAGAAGATGATTGAATGATAGAGGAGTGCCCTATCGAGTCTTCTGATTTGCGCTTGTGCAACATGGTTGCGAAGTTTGCAAGTTGGTTGCACGAGTAGGTCACGATCTCGGTGTCTTCGTCTTTGTCGCGTGAGAGGAAGAATGGGTTGGTAACGCAACTGTTTCTCGCAGTTACGTGAACGCATGCATTTCCTTGAGCCACTTCATGGTGAAGGAATAGATTGAGGGTAACTGAAAGCTATTGTGTTTTGTTAACAAAATGCACTAACCTAAAAGCTAGTGTAAAGATCTTTCGAGTTGTTTTGAGTTGAGAGAATGAAAGTTATGAGAGAGATTTAGAAAGCTATGAAAACTAATCAACGAGAGAGATCATCATCAAGGGATCGTAGATCTGGTCTCCCGCGGGAGACTATGAAGTGTAATAGAGTAGGTTGCGGTAGTAATCCTACGTATCTCCACGATCCTAAAACGGAACGCGTGGAAGATTTGTCTAGCATGGATCTAGTAGCGTGGAAGTACTCCACGCTGGCTAAATATCTAGAGCGATGTTTCATCATCAACCTAGTATGACTAGAGCGGTCATTGAGAACCCTGTCTCAAATGACTATTTGCGAGAGACTCAGTCATGAGTCGAACTCAAACCCGATCTAGGATCGAGTCGCGAATAAGGCTAAGAGCCATGTATTGCACTAGCCTATCATGGTGCCTGGGTTCAATCTAGTTGTCAGAAGTATACTACAGCATCCTCTATTAGCTAGACACTTCCTCCTTGGTGTGTTAGTGGCATATCACATGTCCCCTGGACGTTATGGCTAGAATGGGGCGATTTTTGTCTTTGGCGATGAAAGGCTCAGCTTGCCACAGGAAAACCCCATTATTGTAGACAAAAATGTGAACAAAAACATGTAGTGTATTTGAATAATTGCGCGAAAACAATACACATAAGTACAAAACGTCCGGCAGTCCTCTCTTAAGCCGGTTCCCATTCTGCCATTCCGAGTGGGTCAATTGGTGTCAACTAGTAAAATAGTCATTATTCGAGTATGCGACCATGAGCATCCACCAAGAGCATCCCTTTTCTTGCCGGTAATGGACAAGCATCTTCTTTTTGGTCTTACAAGGTTGTCGATGGTCACAGCCTACTGGATAATACAGAGCACTACAGGTAAGCCGGACATGACTACACTGGATGTATTATCTTCCAGTTTTCTGTCATCTTGGAGTTTCGAAATTCTCACAAAATTGACTTTCGCTCAACCTCAACAGCCATGCAGATAACAGTCGATACCATTATCAGAACAGCTTCCAACCACCAAGGGCTTACAGCCAGAGCAGTCAACCATGAAACTTACCGGTACAATCGGACATTTCGTGGCTGTTTTGGTGTGGCTCCTCATCTTGCGGCTGAGCTCTGGAACATGCTGGATGATGCTGATCCAATGAGCGATATCAGATGGGTGTCTTATTTCCTAGTGACACTCATGTTTTTGAGAACTTACACTGTCACCGCTGTATTGGCCATGATCTTCATGAAGGATGAAAAGACCATTCGACATTGGGTGTGGGTATTTATCGAAAAGCTGGCTACTCTTGACTTGGTACGTCAAGCTCCATTTATTCATTGCCGACTCCACAAATACAGAGACCTCACCATATATATGCTACAATCCACCATCACTGCTGCTCCAGATCAGATGGGAGAACAGACTGATGAACGACAATGGCAGTCGGTGTCTGGTAACTGTTGATGGCACCGACTTTTGCATCCGGGAACCACGTCCTTTCTCTACTGGCTGGTATACCAAGAAGTTTAATGGTCCTGGATTGAGGTATGAAATTGGTGTATGTATTCAAACTGGATGGATTGTGTGGATGAATGGTCCCTTTCCTTGTGGTGAATGGGTTGATATTGCCATTTCTTTGTCATCTTTGGTCCACATGTTTGAGGGAGATGAGAGAGCTGTGGCTGACAAAGGGTACAGGGGGTATCCTCAGTTCTTTGACTGCCCATGGCGACACCTTGACAATCAACAACAGACTAGCAGGAAGGCTCTTGCAAGGGCCAGGCACGAATGTGTCAATAGGAGACTCAAGGAATGGGGCTGCCTCCTTCAGAGGTGGCGCCATTCCCTTGATAAACATGGTAAGATGGCCCATGCTGTGGCCAACATTGTGCAGCTCCAGATCATGGACCGGCCAATGTGGCAGGTGGAGTACTATGATAGAGTCGACAATGAGTTTGACTTTGATTATTAAATAGTTTGTAGTTACTCTAGTTGCAGCCTCACTATTAGCCATAGCATTGACAGTCAACAGCCAACCAGTCTACTCAGGTGTGGAATGCTTGTAATGCGTTTTCCTGCTTCTCCCTGGTACCGGTACCAGGAGATAAGTCGATAAACTGCTGCTGCAACACCAACAATCTCCCGCGATACTACAAAGTGCAGTTGTAGAGCTACAATTACCGCTGGAATAGGAGGAGATTGCCGCTTCCAAGTTGAAAGGAGACACGGAAGAGAAAGTCGATCTCTAGGTCAAGAGCCTCGAGAAAGAACCCAAGTTTGTTGAACTACAGGAAGAAGGATGGCGAGTCTTGTTGTTGGAGGTGGTGACACAACCACTAGAGGAGAGACAAGAGCCAGGTCGGAGGTTAGAAGTGACCCGGAAGCAAAGAGAACAAAGGTGGACCTTTCAGTCCCAGCGCTGTTCCGTGACTTGGCTGCCGGATGGATTGAGAAGGAGATGAATTGGTATGGGAGCCAAGCAGACTACAAGCCTATTGACAACCAAGGAAAAGAAAAGGTTGATGCCGCCCATTTGAAGAAAGCATGCAAGGAGTACAAGAAGCGCTTCGCATTTTGCACGGAGGAGGAAGACGCAGATTGCTTTTCGGGCTCCCTCTACCTCTTGGTTGCGACAAACGTAAAATCAACATGGGAAGCACCCGTTGCACCCTCAGTATTTCGCTTCGCAATTTGTTGATGGATGCGACGAAGAAAATACCCATGAGCGTGACTCCTCCCGTACACTGTAACCGCCGCGCTCAAATCCTCCGGTGGTAGAACCGGTTTCACCGGGATGGCCCGCGCCGAACGAGGGTGCTACTGGATCGGACCAAATAAATAAATGCTACCACCAGATGGGGGTACAGAACCAGCCCAAACACCGCTACGGTACGCTACTGTGTCACGTCACGCTACTATTAGCTAGCTAGTAGCTACCGTACTGTACTAGCTACACTCCTCCCTTGATATTAAGAGAGTCCGAGATAAGATGTCGAGTACTGAGATTTGCTAGAATTTTAAGATATTTGAGACACTCAGATCTGCACTAGAGCTAAGATACCCAGCAAGCACTCTCCCTCGGGCACATAGGAGATTGACAGATGATACAATGACAATTTTCTACAACAAAATGCCTTGAAAACAGGTGCCAAAAGTCAAAAATTTCGCCTCCGGCAGATGATACACTGCTCTTTCCTCTAAGGGTATGTTTAATAAGGTGGGAAGCAGAGTAGAAATGTTGGTATGTACCATACTACTAGTATGATCAATAGAAATGGCAAGAAAGCTAAGATGTTGCCTTTGTACCAGTACCCTGAATTTAAACAAAATGCAAAGAAGATTCTCAGTACAGATATTTGAGTGCTTGCTAAGATGGCTTCGGGGTTCAGGTGAACTTATAGACATCTTAATATCAAGGGAGGAGTGTAGTACCAGGTTCCAACTTCGGAGGTTCGTAGCGTCCATGTTGCAATTCTAAGGCAGTACGGTACAAATGAGTGTAGCCGCCACAAGGAGAGGATCAAATCGAATCGCAGCAGTAGTTAGTCGTTAAGATTGCTCTGCCAAGCCTAGCTAATAGAGATAGATGCGCATCGAAAACAAACACTGGTTCCACCAAGAAGCAAAGAACCATCGGTGTGATGAGTCTAGTCGAGTCGAGTCCCTCAGGAAGCATTCCTAGGGGACTTTTTAGCCATGGGATTCCTGAAGTGGAAAAATCCCTTTTCTTTCTTTTTCTTTTCTTCTGCTTCCCTGGCTAAGCGGATCTGTGCGTCCAATACCAGAGCATGGGCCTGTGCTGCTTCCGACTCACGCTTGTAGAGCGTGTTTCCAACCATGAGGTTCGCAAAACGGTCCTGACTCGACAGCAGCCAGGTTTGTTCCGTATTAAGACGGTCACCAACGTTATCATTCATTCGGTAGCGTAAGAAATCAGCCCATTCCCGTCCATCAATGTCGAGAACTGTCAAGTAAGTATCTTCAAATGCCGTGTGAGCCAAGGCAAGGCTCCTGCAGACAAGAGGTGTTTGGTTTGCAAAAGATGAGTTGGTTGGACTTGCGCTGGATACATCATTTATTTCAGCACTACAGCACTACAGCACTAAACCAAAACACATGGATGTCTTACTTGAAATCGATTGGGTCGTCACCAAAAGGGTTGTCCAGGGCAATAGCTATCATTTCCAATCTGATTGAATGAAAACAAGCAACAAAGAAGACAAGCTTTGCTGAGATTCCCTTGGTGTCACAAACGCCAACTTGAAAACACCATGCATGGAGAATACTTACCCCATGAAACCATAGGTCATCAAGAAAATTGCAAAGCAATGTGCATAGATACTGCTCTCATCCTTCACAAAAACGAGGGGAACCGTGAAGATGTACAGGAAGAGGAAGGTACGAGCCATTTGGATAAGAGGGAAGGGCACTGGTGTGGATTTGAATTTTCGCAGCCCGCTGTAGGCAGTGACACATGAATCGACTGCAGCAAACAACTTGTTTTCCTCAGGCATGGCCAAAGGCTTGGGCAAACGCTTGGTGTGCTCGATGATGGATTTTCGCAACAGCAACCCAATCAGCAGTGGTACACGGATATTCTCCTCAAATTCGCATCGCGGAAGCATGGCATAATGTGCGTTTTGCGGATGATATAGCAGATTGTTGAGTACATAGTCGAGTTCCACACCATTCAGCTCTGGCACTTTCCAGTTAGGGAGGCCGGTGGTATGATAGTCCAAGATACCCACAGCAGTGCGTAGAAATAACATACTTCGGTATGTCAACTGGACAACGGCAAGTAAGTTGATCTTCTGTGAAACATTCATTCAGCCACAACATGATACTGATACATTATATGTCATACCTCTGCTCGATATTCCCTTGATTTCTCATCCTGATACTTTGCCGTCAAAGTGCATAGGTATTGGACCAGTTCTCCTGTTATAAGCGGACAAATCAATTTTCTCGTGAGTTTGTACATGTACTTGACACAAACAAAGATCACGCCGCACTAGCTAGCTAGACCATGATGTCAATACGCACGGCTCTCTCGGTACAACTGTCCCAAGTGTCCTCTTGCTTCGTTGAATCTTTGGAGTGCCATGGTAACTCGAGAAACAAAGAGAAACGCAACGACAAATCGGATGAACTTGTGACCCTGACCCGAGATGTAGACTATTGGACCGTCAGCATTGATATAACTCAACAAGAGCACCACGGCAACATTGAAGACACAAAAGGGAAAAACAGCAGGCCATGCAGAGCCCAGCCTTTGTGTCAGAATGCTCCAGTGACTCTCCGAGTTGTAGATGACAGTGTACAGAATAGGAGCTTCCGTTTTCTTATCGTGGCCGGGGCCACAACAACTAAAGCAAACACCCATTTCTACTACTTTTTCCTTCCTTTCTGTCAATGAGGTCAACGAGTGCTAGCTAGGTAGAGCTATGAAGTAGTACAAGCAATCGCTATTGACCAACAACTCGAGACACCTCTGCATGTATCAGGATCTCGCCACTCGGCAGGATCCAACAAACAAAATCTTTTGTGAAAACCCTAATGTGTTCTCGAAAGGCTATTCAGATCTTTGAAGATCTCGGCACCAGGAGATGACTGAACTTTGACTGAGGACTCAGTCGTCATGGCCAGAACAACCACAAAGCTCTCTCTGGCTATCCTCTGGCGGGTAGGTACCGTAGACAGAGCTCTACTAGCTAGCTGCTACTCATAGTAGCTACTACTAGCTAGGAAAGGGCCAAAGCCAAAGGTTTTTGGTGGATGAACGAAGGCCTCATCATTGGTCAGCCATCCACTTGGACTCAAGCACTCATCTTGCACAGACAAGATTGTTGTCTGGATCTTGGACTCGTTTTTCTTCACCATCATAGTATTGGGATCCTTCAAGCCTCATTTCCAGAAGAATTGATCATGGCAGGAAACGGAAAAGATGCTCGCACCATCAGGAAGCAGAGATATGATTGCTTACTTTGCACTTGATCTCTTGATATTAGCTATAGTTAGCTAGCAGCCACAGACAAACCTCTTGGAGGAACGAACGCTGGAGTTGAATTCCATTGGTGGCTCGGACAATCTCTCATCTCTGTCGACGGTTCAATGGATCCCTACTCAACAAAAAATAACCTTGATGAATCAGAATCTTCAACCGGCATACCTCGGTTGTGCACTCGTATCTCTTGAGTTAAAAATGATCTACTCGAGCATACTGTAGGTAGATGGACATGCAAGCAAAATGCACTGCTGCAAGTAATTAATTGAGCGAGCTTTACAATAGTTTATATTAGGTGAATTGAACAAAGGAGATGGGAGGCAACGATACTATTGATGCACTATTGACAGATACGGTAGTACTGGACCGCAATGAAACAATTTCAACAGACGATGACCACATCAAGGCAGAGTCGCAAGATGCAAATTGTGTGCAATCCTCCCACTCTTTCGTATCGCACCGTTTTTCGACTCTGCAATGAACCTGGCATTTCCTTGTTCAACATGATGATTGTCGTGTTGCGTTGGAATGGCTCCACTCTTGTTCGTTCATTCATTATTACCATCGGGGTCGACAGTTCGCACAATGCTAAACTTTCGGGTGGAGTTTTCCATCTTTCGACTAATGATTTTGGATACCTTATTCGCCGACATCATGCGAACGTCTTCATCGTCCAGCGCAATCACACGATCTCCCACCTGGAGTTCTTCCCTCAACACGGAAGTAGACCTAATTTCATGCACAATGGGTGGCCCATCACCGGGTGTGTCCAACACAACGCCCAGTCTTCCAGCTGGTGCGTAAATCTCAATCAACTCTTCGTTGATGGTCGTTGTTGTAGCGGCCGTATCGGGAGACTGTGATGAGGATGATTGTTGTTGTTGCTGTTGAGATGGTGCGGACGCAGAACTTGTCGGTTGTTGTGCTGGTGCATCTGCTGGAGTGGAGCTGTTGGATACCAACAACAAATAACAGATATTGAGGTCATTCTTCTTATCCAATCCAACCAAACGTTTCCAATTCCACCATATCACCCACGTACCTCTTTCCCTTTTCAATGTCGTCATCTTTGCTTGCTTGCTGCTGTCCCTCTGCCTCTTCCGCTGCTGCCACTGCCTTTCGGCTCGGAACGTCTCCCAGTCTCGTCAAGTAGTATACGCCACCAAGCACCATCAACACAAACCCCGTGGAACCAATCACAATTGCAATCAGAAAGGTAGATTCCAATTCATCATCGTTGGTGGAGGTAGAGTCCATCTTTTTCAAAATAAATTCAGAACGAGTGTATGTATGACTCCAATGGTGCTATGCTAATGGGGAGATTGTTTATCTGTCTCGTCTCCTTGCGGGTTGACCTTCTAGGTACTTAATAAACGGGTATCAAACTTGACTGCTATGCTAAGCTGGTGATAGTCCTGTTTGCTACAACGGTTTGACAAACCAAATCCTTGTCTGCTTCGTGAAAGGGGAATTGATGCAAATGTGAGAAAAAATTTGTTTCGCAACGACAATCGATGGAGTGTTGTCCTGCCAGGTCGGCCGGAAATCAAACCTTTATTTAGAATAATCAAACAAGATGAGCGTTAGCATTACATTCCCGGACGTTACCACTGAGACAACATGTTCATCATGAGTCGACCCATGTTGCGTACGGTAGGTCGCGAGTATGACGTCATTGTTAATCCAGCTACCAACCCAAGGCCGAGCAACACGCAACACACAAACACTCCAACACACCTCTGAATCTGGTAATGCTCAAAGTGTAAACTACCGTAAAGGTATGGTACCGGTACCGGTACGAGTGCCTATGATAGCATTCCCAAAGCCTCTCAGTAAAAGAATGGTACGGTATTGGATGGTCGCTCTTTAGCATCAGGTATCCCGAACGTTTTGTTTGCAACTTTCCAGAGCCCAAAGCCCAAGAAAGCAAAGGGTATCCAAGCCACATTGAAGAGTTTGGCCGATGATGAGCATTCGGGGGTTCACAAGCTGACCTCGATCACTGTGAAGTTTGGAGACAACGAAGTTCTGGAAGAGAAGGAAGCTTTTTATATGAAGGGCGACATGGTGAAATTTCGACACGAAGGAGACTCGAATGCTACTCCCACAAAGGTCTATCTCTGTGCTATAGCCAAAGAAACGGAGAATATGAACACAATGCTGCGCAAAGTTTGGATAAGGTTGCTGTGTGTTACTCCGCAAGCGGAAGTGGCAAGACTGTCGAATTGGCAGCAAGCTCCGTCACGCGCAACGTCGACCTGACACTGCTCCCCACAATCTCTGATTCTGATGAAGCAAAGGTCAAAAAAGCTATGAAAAAGGCTACGGAGGGAGTCGAAGACGAAGCTAAAAAGGCAGAACAGGCAATCAAGTCTAGAGATGACACGGCGTTTCAGTGTCTCTACAAGGCCGTGGAGAAACTGGCGAACACGTATGAAGACTCAATGAAGGAAATCTTCAAGGCTGCACCTTCTGACGGGCTCAAGTTGGTCATTGCTCTGGATGAAGGTTCCATTTATCCAACCATTGTCCGATCCATTATAGGTGAAAGAACATCAGCTGCCGACCAGCTGCGCGTACTTTTCGCTGATTGTCCGATCCATTATAGGTGAAAGAACATCAGCTGCCGACCAGCTGCGCGTACTTTTCGCTGATCGTTTCGGGGTCTCTCCTACGACGATTCGATTCTTTTCTCGATTGCTGGAACTGGTGTTGCCAGCGCTACCGTTGGATCCCAAGCACAAAATTATCTTCACGTGCAACCCTCAACTGTTGAAGATTTTTTCCTCTATCCACGCGTGACTTTGGAGGATGAAGATCTGCAATTGACCTTACCAGGGCATGTGGTCCATGGACGTGTCAAAATTGAGAATATCAAGAAGAGTCTGCCCATTGCATTGTATGATGGAAAACGCTCGCATGGCATCGATTGCACTCAAGAAGTTGTTCGAGTTGCGTAAAGAAGAGAGCATCATGGAAGGAAAAATTCTTGACGACGTCTGCCAACTCTTCATTGCGTCCAACGGCCTCTATGATCTTGTCGAAACTCCTATCCGGCAAGGCCCAGTCGCGGCTTGTTGTTTTGCCATGCTTCTCTTTCAGTGCACCAAAGAACAAGAACAACCTATGGTGTTGGAGACGGATGAAGAGCTGAACGCATTCATGTCCAGCTTTGGATGTGGCTTTGAGTTTGACAAGCAGGTCTCGGAAGTGTTTGCCAATTCCTCTACACATGCTCGATTCCTGCTGCTTTCAAAGTATGCGTTGGTGGAACCAAATCCTGCCAGTAAAACTGAACGTGGTAAGGCCATTGACAACCCGTTCATGATGCGTCCTGCCCAACAATTGATTGCACTGCGTCTTCTGGGGATCAATTTGAGCGCATTGGTTTCATCCAATCCTTTTGGTTTTGAAGTCTTGTCCACGCATACAATGAAAACGGCTCTTGCAGCATCAAGTGCTGTTGCTTGGGAGCGTCGGAATTCGGTAAAGGAGACGCTGGAGGTTGTTGGATGCAAGATTGTCGAAGGTGGAGGAACGCACGTCGACGCCAAAGCAGAGTTTGAAGAGCTCAAGAACTACTTTGTGATTCGTCACCGGTATTCAAATGAAGTTGACAGCCTTAACCCAGGCCCAGCCATGCATGATGTGCGAAAGGCGACTCCAACGATGCTCCTCCCCTCTGAGATGGAGTTTTTCTAAAAACACACCCCCTCACTTATCGGGACCGTTGGCCCCAGGTTTAACCGGAGCGAAGCGATGGTTAAACCGTGGGGGCAGGTCCCATAAGTGAGGTGGTGTGTATTAGAGGCAATACACCGATGGGCGGTGCCGACAGTAATTAAGGCGGTTATTTTGATATTTATGCAGGTTATTTTGGTCACTTAGAGCGGTGTCCGTTAAGTAACACGTGGTTGTTAAGTAATTCAAATCATTTCAAACGACTCCGTTTCACTCCTGTAGAACAGCACTGGCTTATTGTTACACTGTGCCTCCCTCATAGCACAGCCTCAATATCCGGTGCAGCATTTACGCTGGACAACCAATAGGAAGAGGTTGTCGCCACAGTAACCAGTGAGTAACCAGTGAGAATTGCTGCGCGTCGGGTGGTGGTGGTTGATTGTTGACACCATGGTTGTGACCCGTGGCACTGCTAAGATCAAGACCAAAGGTAATTCCCTTTGTTCGCAATTGGCCGGCATTGCAGAGGACACTGAAAATGGAGAGTTGGAGTTGACTCAGCGACCCATGGAGACAGTGGAAGAAGAAGAAGAAAGTGAAGAAGAAGAGACAGCGACTGACAAGCCTCAAGGAATATTCCAATACACGTACCAAGCGTCTCAATCATCCGATGAAGAAGAAGGAGAGAAGAATGAATCGCCTCGCAAGTCCACACCTCTCCAAATTCTCGATGACACCGATGATGAAGAATCCAGTCGCGAGAAGTCACCTCAAATGTATGGGGCTGTATTCTCTGTTCAACCACCAGTCAATGATGATAGACCAAAGACACGTGCCGAATCAGTCAATGAGCAAGTGGAGAAAGGAGAAGCTGTGGTGCTTGGTACAGCTGCTTGTCAACCATTTCATCCCTCTCAGCGTCTTGTGCAGCAAGTGAAGTTTGAGAATGGAGTAGAAGACTGGAACTCTGTTGAGAACAGAGAAGAAGCTGAATTTGATGGATCCTCAAAGGCTGATCCAAAAGTAGAGAGAGCCAAACGTCGGAGAGAAGAAGCCCAAAAGAAGAGATCCAACAAACAAGACAAAGCCCAGACTGATCCGCGACTCGCTCAACTAGCATTTGATGATGCATGGGTAGGGCAAAATCAAGCTTTTGGAGAAGATGGTGAAAATCTTGAATGCTTTGTTCCCCGGCAAGAAAAGGAACCCTCCACTCACTCGCAACAACCAACTGCTCGCGCCACGGGGACCAATCCATACAAAAAGGCCAAAAAGTCGCAGCCAGTAAACTTTGCTCCTCGACGAAAGAATGCCCTTCCCACTCAAGCTCAGAGAAAGGCACCACCGAATGAGACTCGCAAGAACACTCCCTTCTTGTCTCAACTGCAAATCAACAGTGAACTCCGATCGACACAGGAGGACCTTCTTGTCAAAATCAATGGAGTACTGAATCACGTAGGCGCCTACGCCTCTTTTGATTCCAAGGTAGCCAAGAAAATCAAGAGTACCAAACGCGGACTGATTCAGGGAAAGACTGTCAAGCGAAAGGAATCTTATGAGACCCGATTCTTCGATGCAATGAGAGAGTATGGAGGAGAACTCTTCGCCCCTCTTTTGGAAGTTGTTCCAGTCGCATACAATGACTTTGACAAGTCGCCCGACTGTCTTGACTATGCGTTCTTCAATGCATTTGCCGGAGAAAAGACACGGACAAAACAGAAGCTTCTCAACATTTTCATGATCACCTTCCATCAGGTTCTTCGAAGCAAGTCAGGAAAGAATGCCGGTGGATTCCTTCAACCTTCGGTGGAGAAGAATGTTGTAGAGGGACTATTCAATATCTTCCATCAGAAAGGAATATTGTACAAGTACAACAAGGACTTCAACGGTCCAGGTGAGTTTCATGGAATCGTCATCGATGCGTGGACTGATCGCAGAAAGAAGGATCCGAAGTACGGAACACAGCCAAACCAGAAGAGGGTTGTGACAAATCTTTTTGAGCTTGTATGCCAGGCAGTTCTTGATGGTAGATTGGACTTCAACAATGCGTATCACAAGTTCCTGTCTCAGTACTTCATCAGTGGCAAATGGGTTGGTCTCCGGGGAGGAGGAGAACACCATGAATGTCTCCTCGATCATCATCGTGAAGGAGTTCATGATAGCAAACAAGGGTCTCTTGCTGGTACTCCTTGGGCTGGTATCTTTGTTCCCGAAGACAAGACACATCAAATGAACTTTGGCAACACTCGAATCGCTCCAAATGAAGAGCGAGTCATCACCTTCGAATCATACCAACACTGTCCTTTCAATCCGTGGGAATGGCGTACCGATTACGTGGCAAAGCAACATCCCGAGTCCATCAACTTTTACAATTATCCCATTGAGAAAGAAGAGGATAGGAAGAAAATGAACGAGTCGCTCAAGCAACAAGACATTCAATGGAACAAGGACAATCCGGACAAACCCCAGCGAGAGATCAAGGAGTACGATGTTTGGTTCTATCGCTCTTGTCCCGGAGAGGAAAATCCAATCCCCAAAGGCAACGTCGGACACAATCGTCATCGTGACTTCTGCAAGGAGTTCTGCCAGCTGGTTGGAGTCAAGGACTGGAAGAATGCCACGGGTCAAGCTTTCCGTGCTCTCAAAATCACTCTCATGATGGGATCCAGTGTCAATCCCCATACAATCGCACATGGTGTCCGCCACAAGTCCATCCGGTCGCAAGGTACGTATGCCGTAATGACTTCCGCTCGTCGACAGATCGCGGCCGATGCCTTGGATTGCGAGATTTACCAGCCAAAGGAAGATGGCAAAGACGATCGGAAGAAACCCGCCGTGGTAGGTGGCACCGGAAGAACTCCACTTGCCATTGTCGACTTGAATCAGACCAGCACGCTATCGAACAGCGACTTTCTGGAACTTCAACGTCTTCGACAAGAGAAGGAGAATCGTCGGTTGGAAGAACAGAATCGCATCTTGCAACAGCAACAGCAGCAACAACAGCAGATGATGATGCAGATGCAAATGCAAGCCCAAATGCAGATGCAGATGCAAATGCAACAACAGATGAATCCCATGGCAATGATGACCGGCTTCGCCGCTATGATGGGAATGGGAATGAACGGCAGCATGATGAGTAATGGAATGAATCAAAACAATATCCGACGCACAATGACACCACCCATGAATCAAATCAGCATTGCACAAAACAACAATCCACGATTCCTGTCCCCACTTTCATCGAATGGTACCGTATCATCCAACACTTCCACGCTTGCCGTCATTCAAAACCTACCTGGAAACAACAATCAAAACCCACAAAACGACGGGACGAATGGCCATGGTGGAGGTTGGAATGTCAACAATGGGGGATGGAATGGCAACAATGGTGGTTGGTTCAATTGAAATCGGCATAGTTTCGACTTTGGTTTGTTCTTTTCAGGTGTCGATTTTATGAACTGAAATGATTGCTGAACTGAACTGAAATCCGGTCGATTTCTTTCTTGCATCCGATTCGCATTGGTCCCCTGGGAGTTGATCCTCTCTTTACCTTCCGTTGGCTAAGAACCCGGATAGGTAGCAACAATTTTTATTGTTTAAATTCTCTTGCAAACAAATACCATAGTAATTGTTTCAGAAATTGAACAATCTTCATTGTAGCTTAAAGATACGGTTTAGTCTATATTTTTCTGGGATTAAATCCAACGCCGATTGTATCTGATGCACATCGACTTGAACAGATGCACATCACTCCAAAAATCGTACTCGGAATCGATTCAATCGTACTAAGTTTACCAACTTTGCAGCCTTCAATTTGCCATTGTTGCTATCCCAGAGACTCAAAAAGAAATAGAGATACTCTACGGACCGGCACCAGGAATAGCAACAAGCCGCTTTTGTAGGTGACGACGTTGAATTGATGTTGGCTCCTACTTACGCTGAGTATCGACTGAAATTTGTGTTGAACATGGTCGCCGAATTTCTGTAATTAGAGAGGGACGTTAGAGGTGCGCGGGGGAACTTGTTTGATTAGGACAAAAAATTATTTAAGGGTCAATTTAATTAACACCACACCCCAGGTTATTTGACTTATGAGAGCCCCGGTGTGTTGACTCAAATCCCAGAATGCTGTTTCCGTGGACAAGGTGTACGAAGGTATGCTTCGCGAGGCGAGGCCCCAGCATGACACAGCTTTTTTCTTCCCCCCGCTCACTGCCATCAACTACGGCAATAGTGCCCTTGCAGATGGATTCGTCACATTCTACATGGCGAAGAACATCGAAGAGGAACCTGTAAGATTCACCTGCATGAACCAGGCAAAAGACAAGCTAGAATATGATGGCAAACCGCCTGGATCACTCCCCATGAAGAAGATTGCGGCCAATGCCAAGCGATGCAGCCATGGTGCCCTAGATTTTTTGTTTGGCAAGCAACGTCTCCTCTTTCTTTCCTCCCCGTCAGAGGCAGCTGGCTTGTATGCAAGACATGAAGCCAAGGTTACGATTGACAGAAAATGGATTCCACGGGCAATGACAATTTGTAGGTTGCTAAAGGATTTGATGAAAACTCTTGCCGAACAGCGAACCAAAGCTGCCCGCCAGGGGATGCATAATGTGGTGGTCACCCAGAACGGCGACTTGGTTGAGCGGGATGATTATTGAAGACATGCAGGAACGCACAGAACGATGTCGCCTAAGAGAGTGCTCGCAGATTCTGGCTGCGCATGCCCTGGCGGTAAATCGTTCTACACATCTTAGTACTGGTCCAATTCGAATAGGCTCTTGACCACAGTTTGTAAGCTAAGATGCTGCACTCGAATCTAATCCTCTTGTGCATCAACACGCCTCTGCATGATGAAGTGTGGACTATTAATGCCGTAAAGGTAGGCACCGATACCGTTACGAGTGCCCATTATAGCATTCCCAAAGCCTCTCAGTAAAAGAATCGTACGGGTCGCTCTTTAGCATCAGGCATGTTGGCCATAGCTGAGCTGTTGGCCGCTCATTGAACAGGACCCTTCCTTCCCTTTCACCTCTTCGGATTTCGTAGCCAGGTTACGGTACACTCATCTGTATGGTACCGGTAAGCACGCCGGTACTCAAGCCAGCCTCAGTATACCAATTACATGGATCTGCCAACCGATAAGGACTACAAGTAAGTCTTTCCAACTGTCAGCAATGCCATCTCTTCGCATCTCTTCGGTGTTTGCTGTCAATTGTTTTCTCCAACCACCTAGCAGAACCACAACCTCTGACCTCTGACTATTGCCGAGCGGCGGCTGGAACGATGGCCAACCCAATCATAAGTAGGCGAATCGCAAACGTTGGCGGAGTGTTATGGGTGGGTGGTCTCTTTGGGAGGTGCCCAAAACATGGGTCACGCGTTGAATGCCAAAGACTACTAGTAAGCCACGACAAGAGCGTTGTGTGCCAAAGGCGAAAGCTGCTCCCGTCACCTGTAGCATGATTGAAATATTTCGGCTACCGTACACTCCAAGTCAATTCGGAGACAGTTCGCTGCCATAGCGTTGATCAGGCGAAGTCATGCTCACAAGAAACACTTCGAGCAACTTGGAAACAACTGCTATCAAACAGCTTTTGTGTTCACAATGACGAAAACACCAATCTCCATCCTTGACATTGAGGACGGCTGGGCTGGGGTTGATACTTGGGAAAACCCTGGAATCCTTGCAGAAGCTGAGGCGCTTGAAGCGGAAGACTATGTCCGTGAATTCGAGCAGCAACTCGAAGAAGCAGAGAAAAGCTTTTCTGAACATGTTGCATCAGCCAAAGATCGCATGGAAGAGATGGATGAGCTCATAAAGAAAGCGGAGCTATCAACGGCAACGAAAAAGGAGATGGAGCGCATGGAAAAACTGGATGAAGAGATCAAACGCCTCAATGTGGATCTGGCGGCCTCCAGGTCTGCCGTCAAAGCATACAAAGAGGAGTTGGTCAAGTCCAGATCCAAGACAAAGACATATGCGCTGATGAAAACTGCCAAGGAACACGAAATCAAGGATGTCATCCACTTTGTTCGTGAGGCCGAAACTGTTGATTTGGCGTTTCTCCTCGACTGCACAGGTTCCATGACGAGTCTTATCGAGGCGACCAAATCGAGTATGAAAGATGTTGTTCGAAAGGTCACACGCACCAATGCGGGGCTTCAGCTTCGTGTGGCTGTTGTTGGATATCGTGACATTGGCGATACCAACCATTTTGAGATTCTGGACTTTACTCCCTCAGTGGATGTCTTCGAGCGGTTTGTCTCATCCCTGGAAGCACAAGGAGGAGGTGGAGATGCTACTGAGGATATTGCTGGTGCCTTCCAAAAGGCAAACACACTCTCATGGCAACAAACATCTCGTATCACCTTCCTCATTGCAGATTATCCCTGCCATGGCAGCAAATACTACAACCAAGAACAGTGGTTTGATGGGTGGGATGATCGTCCTGAAGGGACGCCAGGTATCTCCATTGAAACAGAAATGAGAAAGCTGATGCACCTGGGCGGTCAAGCCGGTATGCAGTTACACTTTGGTCGCATCACCCCACTGTGCGATACAATGATCAGCGTTTTTGCCAGAGAGGGCTTAAGGTTTGAGGTTTGTGATCTCAAAGATCCAAGCAATCTCTCCTCGTCTGTTTCTTCCAGTGTTCGCAAGTCCATTTCAAAGAGTGTCACTGTCTCGAAGTCAAAATCGAAATCCAAGACGGGAGAAGGTGATGACTTGCTCGAGGAGGGCGAGGTGACTACCAAGGAGTACACCATAGTTGAAGCAAAGCCATCTGCAGATGAATGGAAGTCCCTTGTTGCTAATCCAGTGTCAGTGCTCTGCAACAAGCCTATCAGCTCAGTCAATGACCTAAAGGCCCCACTGCATTTTGGACTGGTTCGCTGGGGAAAGTCCGAATCCACCAAAACCATAGAAACCAAGATGTTCATGCGCCTGGCCAAGGACCCCTTTGCTGAGGGGGAGATGCGTCTTGCGCATTACGGGAAGATTGGACAGGACAAGGCTGCTCTGGCATCCAACAAAGGAGACAAGGTTTTGAAGTCTTTCAAGAAGACAAGGAAACCATCCTCTCAAAGGAATAGCTACCTTGCTCAAATGGAGGTTTCAACTATCTCCCAATTCCTGGCGGAGGAATATAACAAGACCAACCGTCCGCCACACTGTGCCGAGATTCACTTTCTTTCCGTTAATGTTGTAGAGGCAGAAGGTGGAGAGTGGTTCTGCGCAGAAGACGAGCTTCCTTGTGCTGGTTCAGATTTCATGAAGTACAGCAACAATACAGGCTACTGGAACGAAGACGAGATCAATCAGAGCCTGCTCTTGTTCACTCAGTTTACTTTTGAAAAGACTAAAGGTTTCTTGATGGTTACAGATTTGCAAGGTGTGCGCAATGGCAACCAGTACGTCCTCACTGACCCAGCCATTCTATGCAAGGACAACACTCGATTTGGTGGCACCAATCTTGGTTGTAAGCTAATGGATAAGTGCATGACCTCAACTCAGACAATGCTGGAAGAGAATGGATGGGATGATTGAGAGCAGAGCAGTTGGGTTGATTGACGACAGTAAGTATCCCTGCAGGCCCCAGAGCGGAACGGACCAGCCAAGAAGAAACCAAGGAGAAGCAAGACAAAGCAACAACACACAAGAAGTCATGATGACTGACAACAGGAGAAAACAACAGCAACAACTATGATTCGATTCTATTTTAATTAAAAAGCAGACAAACACAGACAGAGATAATCTTAAAAAAAGCAACTATGACAAAACAACCTTCTGTTCATGCACAGTGTACACGTACCGTAGCTGCGTATCTTTCAAATGGTTGCACAACCCTGACGGTACGGCTGTACCAGTACTAGCTAGCGTACTAGCTAGCTTGTAGCTATTAGAATGTGCACGTAATAGCCATCTTCAAGCCGGCAAATTTGGTTGCTCAGGGCTGGGAGAAGCGAAGCGTCATTGATCGGGGCTTCAATGGATGACACCATTCGCGAATACGGTTGCTCGTGCTTTGTTCTGATGTTGATCCGTTGATACCACGATACCGTTGGCAGCTACTAGTAGTAGCTTGTGGTATTCCTCGAACCCTTCAACATGAGTTCTATCTACAGTATCGTACTAGCTGGCTAGCTAGCAAAGACACCAACGAGATCTTGATGTCTGATTGAGAATTAGCTTGAGAAGGATCTCATTTGTTGGTTGCCTCTTATGATAACCCAGCGATCTATCACTAACTTCTCCTGCAAGAACAGGTCCTTTCTACTCTGAACAAGTAGAGACCCACCTGCTGCTTGTACAGCAAATAAAAAGAGAAGAATCGATCTTCTGACGTCAAGCAGGTCTCATAAAAACAAATCAATCAGTACATGTATAGAAGCATCACGAAAAGGATACCAAAAAATGATTGCCAAACTAGCAAGTCGAAAGTTCTTGACATCGACGATGGTTCGTCGTGCCATACATACTTCTTCTATGTCACCTTCCGCTGCTGCTTCGGCTCTAGCAGCTCGACAATGTAACCCCCTCAATGTATCAGCGAACTGTGCTACGGTCGAAGCTGAGTGGCTGCTGCAGTACTTGTTTGCATCCCCGGAAGATCTTACGGCAACCCAGCAGACAGAGGACGATGAAGACAATGACATTGTCAATACTCTCCACTTGCAAGTTTCAGCCAATTCAGCCACCATGGAATCAGAGTGGGCTCAACAAATCACGTTGGCCAATGCCAGGCAAGATGTGGAAGCACTGGAGAGAAGTCTTCATGCAGAAGACGATAACACAACCACCGAGGAAAGCATTATGGAACAGTTGCACTTGAACGTACCAGAATCAGCATTGGGTGTGGTCCATGCAGCCGAATATTTGGATGAAGCAGAACAAGAACAAGTCAAGCAACTGTTTGCTCAGCAAGACAAAGACATCCCGCAAGCATTGCCACCGAATGATGCTGCACTAGATTCTCACGCAGTGGAGTTGATGGTCCAACAAATGCTACTCTCATCTCCAGAATCTGCCACGGGATATTATCATGTAGCCGAAACATTGACGGATGATCTCAAGAAGGATTTGGCCACGGCCGCCACACCCTTGCCCACTACACTGGAAGATGCCATGAGCGAGGACGAATCACGTGCCATTGTCATCACGACGCCCTCGGCGCCCTTTCGTGTCGTCCGGGTCAATACCGTGTGGGAAGGACTCTGTGGCTACTCACAAGAAGAAGTCCAAGAACGACCCATTGGGGAGCTGCTGAAAGGACCAAAGACCCAAGTAGCACAAGATATGGTACACGCACTCGAGGAGCATCCCGAAACTCCACAAGCAACCACCATCGTCAATTACACCAGGGATGGACGCCAGTTTCGCAATCATTTGCAAGTGGGACCTCTATTTGCCACGTTGGAACACGAGCAGGTTGTGGAGTACTTGGTGGGGGTCTTGCGAGAAGTGGATGAAGAAGGGCACAGTGTCCAGAGAAGAGTGGCCGCGTAAGATGCAACCTTTGATTTGTTTGGCCGTGCTCCAATGGAGATTCAACCAGGATGCGCACAGTCTGTAGTTAGCAATGTATATCAGCCAACAAAAGAGACATTGAGATCGAAAGCCCAACACCACACGATATAGGTATTAAACATCAAACTGAAAGCAGATGTTAGGCCTTGTCTGTATGCTCGCATGATGTCATTGGTCCGTTTCTGTGGGATCCGGTTGTTGGCTACATGGTGCACTACGGTACCGTACTAGGGGCTTCGCACCAGCTGGTGATGTCCGAGTGTCCAAGCTAGCTAGCCAGCTGGCTAGATTGTCATCAATCGCAACCAAACCGCACTTCAAATCATGAGGCGTCCAACATCGGTGCGAGCATAGAAGCGATTCCGGTTCTCATCGAGTGCGACCGAGACGCCTTCAAACCTCAGATGGAGGCAGCACTCAAACCAGATCAGTGTACTAGTACAGTGTACTTGTCTTGGGTGCCCTTGCTAGCAAGACGTTCCATCCATGTCGTTGTCGTCCGAAGTTGTTGAAGCTGGATGTTCGTTTAGTTTGACAGAGTTCAAAATGCATTTTGGGACAAGATCGAGGACACAAACGGGTACATCACAGCATCATTGATTGATTGATTCTAACCTGATACCGGTATTACGCATGCCCCCGTATGCAGCAACCGGTACGATTCCGTATGATATAAGCCTCCCTTTTTGTATTGCACCGTTTCCATATCGCAAAGAGCACAATAAAAGAGACCCGCAAAAACCAGCCACCAATTGGTAGCATCTGCCATGATATCATCTTGAGGAGGAACATTACTGGAATGCCAGAGCAACGACGGCAATCTCGAGGAGCTGCATGCAACTTTCAATGAGACATTCAGCATTGGCCGAGAAATCTCTCGAGGCATGGGCAACACCAAAGACGGCGGAACACAAGGGGCCGCCTAAATGCAACGCAAAGTCTTCCTCGGGAACGGGAGTTACCCCCACCAAGTCAAGCAGAGCGGGACCTGGATTGAACAGGCATGCCGAAAGCGAGGAAACTCGAAATGGCGGCAATTTGGAAGAGAACGTTGTGTTTCTCAGTGAGGAGTGCAGCCGCCTCGGTGGATGAGAATGATGATGATGAACATGTTGTTGGAGCCATGATTTGTGATAGTGCTGTGTTACATGCTGCTTGTGGTACCATGCCACCACTGTTGAAAGCTGAAGTCCATCTTTGCAAGCTTGGGCTCTCCACATACATTCAAACGCAAGAAGCTCTTCGGAAGGATCTTTGCCATTTTGAGACGCACACCTGCTTTGGATCTTTCGTCGTCGGTGATGTCAGACTGAGCCAAGACAACGCAAGAAACCCTTCGAATGAAAAGGGCGACGATGACAACATAGAAATTAAGCCACCACCCACAACTCTATTACTCTCCCCCCATCGATCAAATAATCTACAAGCTACCGTATTCATTTAGTATGAGTGTTCATTCAGTGTTTGGAATGGCGTTGGGTCTGTTGGCCTGCCTTCTCCTCTTGGATCAATCCAATGCATTTGGCGTTGGTAGCAGCGTTGCACAGAGAAGCAGAACGTCTACCAGTAGACTCTACTTGGCGGCAGCGGAAGAAGCGGATGACAAGTCCAAAGAAGATGCCTTGAAAGCTGCCATTGGCGCCATGTACGGAGACCAACCTCTCGAGGCTCCCGACAAGACCCAGGAACGAATTAAAAACTTGATCGAATCCAACAAGGTCGTGTTGTTCATGAAGGGGACCAAATTCTTTCCACAATGTGGATTCAGTGAAACGGCCACCAAAATTTTGGAAGCTCTCAAGGTCGAATTTGAAGCCGTCGATGTCTTGTCGGATGAGTCCATTCGGCAAGGAATCAAAGAGTATTCTCAATGGCCCACTATTCCACAACTATACATCAACCAAGAGTTTATTGGTGGCAGTGACATTATGATTAACATGTTTGAGAGTGGAGAATTGCAGGAAATGATGAAGGAAAGCTAACCAACTAAATGGGTTGAATCATTCTAACTAATTCGGAGCACTGCAAAATGCAAATAAATGTTTGAAAGGCAGGTTTTGAAACATTCAGTAAAGGCTCAGTATCATAGTGTTTGGAGGCCCCCAAGCTGATAATAACCAGCCAACCGCAATTTGCAGAATGATTGGTTATAGGAATCGATGTCGCTTGCTAGTTATGCAGGGATTTAGGAAGATCAATTTGTGGTTTGCAACAATTACCACTGGTAGATCTTGCTTTGTATCAGCGTCCCAGCCCACCTACTACCTGATACCATGTTTGAGACGACATGATGCGATGAATTCTTGCAGTTTGGTGTGAACTCGTTTGGCGTATGTTCGATGATTGTCTTTGCTACAATATCAACCGACTGTGTGCACTGATAACCGATGCGAACGATGGCTGACAAGAAAGTGTGGGTTGGAACCAAAGCTAACTACTGTGCCCCACCACAGAGGTTTCTCCGTACCGGTTTGGCCAGCGCTGAGACAACCGCACCTCTGAGGAGTAACACGACATTGTCGTACCAGCAGTTGAAAGAATTGGCATTACCTAGACTACGGTATCGCAGAGACCACTCATGCAGTCATGCATGTTCCTTTTTGGTTTGGCAAGGGAAGCACGACGGTCTAGATATTGTGAGGCCATGTCCTCCCCCCGCGTCCCCTGTATGAAACCATAAAAAATTTCAAAGTGACGTAAATTTTATCGCAATGACAAAACCTGAGTACAGAGCCTGTTACAGTGCCGTCAATCTCTCAACCCAACAAGCCAACTTGTCCGTTCTCGTGGTTGTTGGGTGCTCAGAAAGCCCGTTTTCTGATGGAAATCAAAAGCAAGACGCCGATTTCTTGTCCACAGAAGCCAGAGGTTTTCTGCTGCCACTGGCCTGTTGGCAACAGTATCGAAGACATTATTCAAGCTTTCCACTCCAGCAAAGGAAGACACAGGCGAGAGAGTTTTGTTGGAGGCGATAGCTTTCAGTTTGTCAAGGAATTTTCTACCATGGACACGGTAGAGTCGAAAGATGACGATAGCAGTGTGGGCAGCTTGCCTCCGCCTCCCGATGATAATGATGTCGTTGAAACCGATGTTCCTGTAGAGCCAGCAGAGAAAGCACAGGAGGAGCTAACTGTAGGTGAGGAAGCACGGCCGGAAGTAGCCAAAGCGGAACCAGCCGATGGCGATGATAAGGGAGACGAGCCATCAGAAGGACAATTTGAAGATGCTCAAGGAGATGCAGCAGCCTTCGAGTCTCCCTCCAAGACGTTCCTGCAGGGATCGCCGCTGAAAGACTTTCCGGTAATGAACTCTCCACCTGGATATGCCATTGGAACAGCAGGAACTCCACCTGCCTACACTGCCCTTCTGGGAGTTTCCAGCCCATCCCCCTTTGCATCTGCTCGCATGGCCTCGCCTCCCGGATACGCGGCGCCTCCCGGATACGCGGCGCCTCCTGGCCATTATCATGCGCCTTACCCAAGTCCAAGCGACCATCGCCGCCGTTATAGTTATCCTTACCCACCCACCACTACCAGCGGCACCATCCGAAAGTCACCTCCTCCCAAGACAGATGCTATCGTTCCGGCAACACCCGCTTCCAACCCTGCAGTCAAAATGCCGGCTGGCAAGAGTTCCGCCAAGAAGGTATCTCCCAAGGCAGCTGCTACACCCAATACCGTAAAGAGCTCCAGCACCAGCGGTACTCCCAATACCACTCCCAGTGGCAAGGCTCAGCGAGGTCTTCGTCACTTTAGTGTCTTGGTGTGCAAGCATGTGGAGGCACGGGGCACCACGACATACAATCAGGTGGCAGATGAACTCGTCAGCCAAGTCGTGGACGAGCGAACCAAAAAGGGGGAGGGCAACAAGGGGAAATTCGACGAAAAGAACATTCGTCGCAGAGTCTACGATGCGTGAGTGCATGTTGTCTTGCTTGCTGGCGTTCCAACAGTGTTGCCTGCCTTGCCTACCAACCAACTAACTCGATTCTTTTTGCTCTCTTCTCTTCTTGCATGGATTCAACCACAGGCTCAACGTACTTTTGGCCATGGGGATTATCCACAAGGAAAAGAAAGACATCATCTGGATCGGTCTGCCAAGTTCCTTGGAAGACACCAAAGACTCGGATGAAGAAGAAGAAGAGGAGGAGGAGGACACCGAAGGAGGAGGTGAAGGTGAAGACAGTGGTGACAAGAAGCCATCAGCAACGCCGTCTCCGGCAAAGGCATCCAAGCCCGACAAGGAACCTGAATGCAACGAAGCTGATGAAGCGGAGTATGCAGCCTTGGAACGAGAGCGTGATTACCTGCAAGCCGAAGTGACACGCAAACAGGAATCTCTACGGGAAATCTTGATCCAGCAAGTATGCTTTCGGAACCTTGTCGTGCGCAACCAACAACGGGAATACCCCACTCGGGGAGGAGCTCGTGTGCCCCCACCAGCGGACGAAAAGATTCCTCTACCCTTTATCATTAGTAATACCAAACCGTCGTCGGTTGTCCAATGCGATATGAATCGCGACAAGACGGACGTCACATTCGAATTCGATTGCCCCTTTGAAATCAACGATGACAATACCATTCTCAAGCGCATGAAAATGTAAGTCCTTCCGATGGTTCATCTTCTAAAGGAGCCCTTTGAAACCATCCTTGAACTAACTTTTGGACGCGCCCAACTTGACACACCAGGGACAAAGCTTCAGTCCACTCGTTGCATGACCTGATCCCAGAGGATATGTTTGAATACTGCCGCAATACAGGTGTTTTGGATTCCGTCTTGCTCCCCGGGGAAGACGCTCGAGCCCCTCGTCGGCATCCCCACCTCCACTACGACCGGGCTTATCGTTACTAAAGGGTGCAAGTACTCTCTGCTGAAACACGAGGGGTGCTTGACGAATCCCACTCTTGTCACTGCTGTCTTTGGTGTTCTTGAGGCGTGGCAAACAGTGATTATGCCAACAATCATTTCAGCGGTTTTGTCTTTCAAATGCAGTTCCAGCAATGTGAAGTTGGAGCTACCCGCATAAAGCCAGTCCACCTTGGGTTGGTGGCTACTGTATCTAACGTTTGAAGTTACTATAATTATTATCAGTCGGAATCTGTGCCATGTACACCGCTAGCTAGCTTGGCAGCCACTGCTACATTGAACTGCGAAAGCTGTGCCGAAGCAAACGTACTGCAGGGCACAAGGTCATTCGCAAATACAAGCAGCCCAAGATCCTCACATCGAATCATAGCCAGCCCTGCCGCTTTGATCAATCAAATCCCGAACCTAACCTTCTTTGTTCAAGGAATGGGCACTGCTACTCTGACGCAGAGAATGCCTGGAGATGTCCGATCAAAGCTGTGTACAATTATGTACAAAATTGCCTGTTGCTGTCCATGATGCACTGAAGTGCGTAATTTTGAAGAAGCGATCTTGAAACGTAAGCGACAATGAGACCATTGATACTGCCCCTATAATAACGAATGGAGAAGAGTGTCCAGCTTGTGAGTTCTCGGAACGGAATGGGCATCACCAAAGAAAAGAAGTGCTACAAGCTACAAAGAGTTTCTAGCTGAGTTTCTCATGACGAGCCAGAGCCCAAAGATCACCTGCAACCTGCAAATACAGGTGGTCTAATTGTAGCTGGATCATCGCTGCCACGGCTTCAGCTTTTTAAAACCTACAGCTACTGTACCACTACTTACTGAGTGGTAGGTATGGTATGCAATTGCATGAGCACCTGCTTGTCTTTTTGTTGGTGCTAGCTAGGTGATGTCACTGACAGCGAATGGTTGTTGCCTTTTAGTGCGTTTTAGGTGCATGAACACCATGCATGTGGCTGGGGCTAAGAAATGTAGTTGGCTGGAGGGATTGATGAGGATTACCAGCAAGCTAGCAAGGCCGTTAACGCCGCTCCAAGTCTAAACTTACAATGTCATGTAAACACTTGAGTTACAAATAGTTTATGTTCTAAAGATCGATGCGCTGTCAAAGCCCGAAGAGAATTGTCATGTAATAGACCCGCATCTTTTGGTCGCCACTCGCTTCATATACCCAACTTGATAAGTGATACATCCAACACAGAATGACACGTCCACCAGCCCAGAAATGAAACTTCATCCCTTGCTTCAGGCAGCTGCTGCCAGTGAAGGGCTATGCAAGAGCAGCAAAATGTTCTGGACAATCCCATCAATATCGCTCTTCATAAAGGAACGGGGACGGCATCGGAGTTCCCTTAGCAGATTCCACAACTCTCCGAGCACTGTGCGGGCCTTAGCATAGTCTTTCAGGAGGTAGAATACCACTGCTTGGTTATTTAGGGCTGCAATGACCACATCTGTCTTCTTGAAGCTATCGCTCGTGCAGCTTTGGATGTGTCGCAAGCTCACCATGTATAAGAAGAGAGCTTTGTATAGAGTCTTCTCGTCAGTGCCTCGTTTCTGGAAGACCAAAGCCATGTTAAAGATAATCACAGCGCTGCAATAGGGAAGAGCATCAGGATCTGAGGTGTGACCCTGTTCAAAGGACAAGCAGCGATCGTATTGGTAAGCTTCTTCGTCGTCAGCTGGAGCTGGAGCATCAGTTCGAGGGCAGTTTGCAACAGGACGCGTGGTTGACGCCCTGGTGCTGTTTCCGTTCCCTACGTTCACAGTGGGCGGAGTGAGCATCGCAGATACCGACGCAGTTGTTTGGGCAACAGCGTCACTTGACAGACTCTCCAAGGCATCCTTGAAAGCCGCAAAAGCACTGGAGTCATCTCCCCGCTCAATGTAGGAAGCACCTTCGTCGTTGAGGCGTGCTGCTTGATTGGGCGTTGTAGTCGTCGTCGACATGTTGTCTGCTGAATTGTTCCTGTTGCAGCTCCACTCAGATTTTTTGGGGGGTTAGAGATGTGGCTTGAGTTGCTTGCCAGCAACTTGAGGCCGGCCTGAGCTGAGCAAGAGGGGAAGTGATACGCGTGTTGCAGCACCAGCTGCTGGTCTCTGTCGATTGTGGGTGAGCGACCTCCAATAAAAACCAAAAGCGTTGGCAAGTTGTCAGGGAAGTACCATCTTGGAAGGGCCGCTACGTGGATTGTGTACCGCCCTCTACCTCCACAGGTGCGTTTGTGAAAGAATACTCAATCGTGCCTCTAATATCCAGATTTCCAGGACCAATCAAAGCTTCCAACTTCCAACCTACAAAACCTGCCGTCATCAGGCCCCACGCAAGTCAAAATGGCTATCTACAAGCAGTTCAGGCCTTCCAAAGGTAATAACCCTCAAAACCTGCTGTCATACACGCACAATGTCATGTGCTAGTATGCATTCCGAGGGCCGACTTGAGGCCCAACGCAAGTGATGCAGCGGCTTTTGCCTTCGACGCACTGGATGACCATGGCGAAAGGAACACACTGCAATCGTCAAAGCCTCAACCTCTCTAGAGTACCTGGTAGTCTGTCACGCTGGCGGAAGCAAAATAGGAAGGTGCTTCTAGCTAGCTACTAGCTAGCTAGCTAGTAGCCAGCGACGCTGTAGTGGAGCCGAAGTCGGACGGAACTGTGGCTGGATAGCTAATGCAGTATCCGTTTTATTGATCCAAATTGAAAACGTCAGGCAACAGGTGCTGGGAAACAAAAACAGTTAATCAAACCAAACTTACCTAGCTAGTCTAGAAATGGAGGAGGGGCAAACCTAAGTAGGGATCATGTTGGCATCCGGGATGGTACGCGTCTTGCATTGCCACATGGGGGATTGGAACCCAAGCAAGATATCAACGTTGTATCTGCTTCTGAAGATCGGAAATCCCCAATGCTTTCGTTGGCTGGCCATGTCTCCTGAATTTTGGATTTCGACATCCCAGACACCTGAACAGCTGACCTGGAGCACCATGGCAGGTTCCAACTTTCTCGCTCTTCTCTGATGTTACTCTGGGATCCCTCCTTTTGCCTCTTCCAGTTTTGGCTTCCAATTGTTTCTTTTCGGCTGGATCAAAAACCTTTCCACCTACAGGGTCTTCAGCAATGCGCAATATGACCCGCCTGGTTGTCTTGGGAGCTCTAGGTATACCGCTTTCACAAACAGAAGGCAGGAGTTGTAGGTGGGAAATTTTTTCACCGTAGTCAAAGGGGCCCGATTCATTGCGGGGGAACCAGCGCTTCCAAGAACAGCTGCCTTTGCGCGGGTCTGACCGACAGCTCCATTCAAAGCATCAAATTGTGTTGATTGTGTTTCGGTCATAGCTGGCTCTTCAATTTTAAAAGGTAGGTGTCTCTCATCAAAGTTTTGCCTTCAACGTTCTCTTTTCCTTGGAACCACTATTTTCCACTTCGCAGCCAAGTCATTCAGCGTGTTGATTGGGGACGGTCTCCTCTGGGAATTTTACTTTTCGCCTAGAGCGAGAAGAAGTTGAGCTTGTCAGGTTGTCCGCGCATCCGGTACCTGAGGAATTGATTCGAATTGCAGGCTGCAGTTTGAGGACCAGGCTGTCGTCATCCAGTTCTCCAATGTGATCACTTGCTGATACGCTGATACTTGGTCGGAAATTCATTCGCAGCGCATACACTGATTGACTTGCTGACTCTCAATGCAGTTCATCGATTCTTGCACTGTCCTTTTTCGAACGCGAAGCTGTGCTTGTAGGTGCCGGTTTTCACAGACAGAATACTTGGTCCTCATCGTGTTGGTGGAGCTGGTAAAGAATGCGTCAAACGAAGCATCGATAGATCCATCCCATCCAACTTCTTCCTAGCTAGACAATATCCCTTTCTCTTGGCGTCTGCTATTAGTACTGAACAACCGGTATTGGAACTTGACCTCATGAAGTATTGGAATTGGTTGCATGGACCCTCCTCTGGATGGAAGAGGATTTCTTGCCTTCAGAGAGCATCTCGCATCGCATTCGAATTTTCAATCGAATCTCACCATGACGTCGCAGAAGGGGCACGGCACCTTTGACGTTCAGAGCAAAAGCGATCGGCAGACCCCTTCGCTGCTAGTTTTCTGCGCAGCTGCGGTCCTTTGTCGGCCATCGTCAATAGATCCGAGAGAGACTGGATTGGACATAGCAATGGCGGGCTGAATGTTTGGGAGTTGTGTGGCGAGTGGACGATCCCAGCGAACAAGCCAGTCTGAGCTGTAAAATGGCACAATGACGGTGTCTTTTTAACCTTCGAATCTTTGGAGCTTTGCCTTGCGAAACTACATGTGTTGGTCGTTTTGAGCTTCCGTGCAGTTACAGTGTAGTTGATCGTCGATCATTGCTTTAGGAAGGCAGAAAGCTTTGAGGAACCCATGACCAAGTTGTGGTGGCCTGCACTACAGAAGGATCTACTTGATCAGTACAAAAAATCTGAGGATATAAGAAAAATGGGAGCAATGATAATGAATGAAAATGCCAGGTGTTCCGCCTTAGTTGTTTTGCTGTTGTTGTGACAAGCTCAGACCAAGATCTTCTTCCATTGGGGGTATGATGTCAAAAAGCGCTCCAATGGCTCCCTCACTAGCTATTGGAATCTCCACAAGGGCAACTACAGCCACAAAGCACATTGGTGCAGTCAAAATACATGCCATGGTGCGTTCCCTCACACGGATTGACGACGGAAGGAATGCATGCACCACTGAGGGTGCAGAGAGCCTCAGGAATTGTACCAGACAACGAGGGATTGTCTGTCACCATCATGGCATAAAGGGATTTCTGCCGTGCTGCCAGTTCTTCAGGGATGGTGCCAGAAAGGGAGTTGTTGCCAAAACTCAGCGCACCTACGGATGAAAGGAGTCCTAGTTCGCTGGGAATCTGCCCTGAGAACTGGGCATTGTGCAAGGTCAACTCATGCAGTGATGAGAGGAGGCCAATCTGTGTTGGAATAGTACCAGACATTTGACTGTTGTTGTAGAAATGTAGTGCCAAAGCCAGATTTGTCAGGAGTCCAAACTCACTTGGAATCTGCCCTGAGAAGCTGTTGTCACCTAAACTGAGCCAAACAAGATCTGTAAGAAGGCCTACTTCACTGGGCACCTCACCTCGCAGATTGTTCTTCTCGACAGTGAAAAATTTCAACTCTGGAAGCTGTCCAAGTGCGCTTGGAAGGGTGCCAGACAATCTGTTCCCATAGAAAGCTATCCAATCAAGATGTTTCAGTTGGCCAAGCTCCGTGGGAATAGTTCCTATTTATGAGACGACAGAGCAATGGAATGATAACAAGTGAGTTCCAGCGCAAGTGTTAGTAGTCATATAAATGGGAAAAGGGGTTCAAGCTCAGCCCAAACAGTGATAGCCTACCAGACAGGTCACACTCATCCATGACAAGCCACCTCAACTTTGATAACGCAGTAATTTCTGTTGGAATAGTGCCTCCCAACTGAGCATTGCGGCTTGTTATGAGGGTCTCCAAGTTGGTCAGTTGCCAGAACTCTGTGGGCAAACTTCCCTGGTGATTATTGTCACCAAGTCCAATTGCCCTCATCTTTGTCAAGAGCCCAATTTCAGTTGGCACTGTCCCAGCATTCTCTATATTATTGATGGCCAGGCCTTCAAGAGAAGTAAGCAGGCCTAGTTCACTGGGCACGGCCCCTTTCAATCCATTCAGGATCACCGATAGAGATTGTAGTGATGTCAACGAGTAGAGTTCAATTGGCAGAGTGCCCAAAAGATTGTTTTGATCCAACCAGAGATGCTGGTAAAGACCATCCTCATCACAGGTAGTGGGAGCCGGTTCTGTGGGAGGGAACATTTCATCCAAGTACCCAGGGTAAAAATGGCCCAACAAATCTTTCATGGCAAAGGATGGCTTGTTGAACCAATCACACTCATGAACACTGTGGTTGAGCCAGTTGTTGTTGGCCAGCCAATTGTCTCCACTTGTGGCAAAGTACAGAGTGGCCAAGGCAAACCGCTGCTTGATGCGCTCATCGGATAACAGGGGGATGTTGATTGTGTCCTCCATCAACCACTGGTAGCCTCGTCCTTGTGGTGAACTAGGATCCGCCGTGATTGCATGAATCGTTTCATCGTGGAGAAGAGACGAGACACGATCCTCAATGGAGGTTGGAGCCTGGGAAGGACTCCGGGATGGCGGTGCAGTTGTTGGTGATGCAGTTGGAGCCATATCATCAAGATTAGTGTCAGCTGACCCTTTGCTTGGGACCAGTACAGCCATTAAAATGATAACGATGGCAATAAGAAGAAGAATCCCCAGAAACAAGTTGGTTTTGAACTGCTTGGTGGCTTCACCTCTCTTTTGGGAAGCTTCCAGGTCAAAATCTTGAGCATGCTGAAGATCGAAGGGTGTTGAATCCTCCTCCACTAAATTGGCAACAGCCAGTCCATGGGTCATGTCATCTCCTCCAACAGGACGACTTGCCTCCACATCATCTTCCACTACCTCCTCAGAAACACCCAAGGTGTCTTCTTCTTCTTCTGTAGACTCGGCATCACCATCTGCATATGCTCCAGGTTCAGTTGGATAGGTTGTATCAGTTTGTGCTGGTGGCATGCTATGAATGTTTTCATCAGAGTTATTCGGATGTGGTGGTTGCTGGTCGAAAGTTAATTGAAGATTGGTGCTAGGGTGACTCTCTGTAGATGCAACGCCATTTGCGGAACGACGTGCTCTTGGAAACGGAGTCAAACTCTTTGCCTGGTGAAGAATATCGCCAGAGACGCCCTCTCTCGATACTGCTGCATATTCGGGTTGTGTCGTTTGATTTTGACTAATGGCTGATTCTGTCGTATTGGTGACCGAGTTTCGACCCCTGGGATAGGCAATCTGGTTCTTGGCATCTTGTAACATCTCCGATGGGTTGGCGGTGTCACTATTTCTGCCCGATTCTTTCGGCCCATCCGGGCTGACTTCAACCTGATTATCGCTTAGACTTGAACTGCCTCTTGGATAGGCAATCTGTCTCTTCGCTTCTTGGAGCATCGGAGCGTTAGTCGGATACTGGCCACTTCCGGCTCTCTTCACACATTTGGTGCGGACAGTTGTGGACTCCGCATCCTTTTGGCCAACCTGTGCCGCGGCCACTGATTTCATTGACTCTCGTCCCTTTGGGTACGCCACCAATCGCTTGGCCTCCGCCAAGATACTAGTATCTCGATTGTTGTTGCCTGGATTGATGTTGTCTGCCATTGTATGTATTTGCTGTCTCTGCTGCTTTTCTGATGGACGCGAGCTTTGTTCTTTGATGTGGAGGGTGTGAAGTTATAAGGGTGAGGTGTGAGGATGAAGTATACTGTGGGTGCTCTGTTGCATGATCAAGTCATCAAGTCGTGTGGGGGGTTTTGTGGCTCGTGGTGCTAGTGCTAATATCTTTTTGCCCCTCTCTGGCTACAGTATGGTGGTATTGGAACTCTCGAAGCTGCATACATGTACGGTACTACGTTTCTGCAACAGTAGTTTACAGTCGTACCGGTACATACAGGAAACCTTCGTCGTCGACCTTTAAGAGAAGGGTATCAAGATTTATGAGTGTATCGACTTGTTCTCTGGTGCGGCTGGGTGGGGCCACGGGCCGTGGAAGTCAACTAATCTGCAAAGCTGCTGATCCCTCTAGGTCGTCTTACATGTACACGTACCGGTACAGTACTTGCGGGAAGCTCGCTGCTGAGTGGATTCGATTCGTCACAGGTCGCAGAGCCAAAACTATGATCCATCCCATGTGAGATCATTGGTACCAGTACTGGTACCGGTAGTTAGAGAGCAAAGATTGTAGCGTTCTTGACGAGGCGTGGCATGTCAACTATGTGTAAAATTTTCAAAGGGCGTTTTTCCCTGCATCATGGGTCAGCAGCCTTTACCGGTAGCAGTTGGCCGTCCCCGGGCCCCGACTTCAAAATGACTTTCTCGAATTGAGCGAGGACCGAGTGTCGACATTATTTTACCGCATCTCTAGCTACAGATAGACTGCGGTGCGGTCTTGAACACACCACCACACGAATCGTTGCCTTTGTTACTTCAATGAATTATTGGCTGACTACGAGTGACGATGACTTGACAGGCAGATCCGAGGTTTGGTCTAGAATACCTCTACATACCTATTTGGAGCTGTGCTTAAAGAACACCACGAGTTCTAACTTGTATCAAAGCTGGTGCATTTTTAGTTTGTCACCCGAAGAAGTTCCAGCGTTGCTTGCTTGCGAGAATACCAACTTCAATTTGATTATATTATTATTGCCAGCCCTGTCAGACCTCCCAACCTCTGTACACTTATGCTGCCCTAGCAACTAGCTAGCTAGCTAGTCCAAACTTTGAAAGTATTGACCCCTGTTGCTTCCCACGGACGTCAATGCGAGCGGATTATCATCATCACCGTCCCCAGAAAGGACGTCCTCGAGGAGACCGTGTTCCTGGCAGTACGTGACCAGGTCTTCCGGTACCATTTGCTTCAAGTCTGGAATGGTTGTCCTGTGCCTGAATGGATGAATGAAAGGGAAGAAAACGAGAACATGATAAGACAACGGACTCCAATGTGGTACTATACAATCGAAAACATCAAGCCGAACACAAACTTACATTCCCAAGCGTGTCAAGATGGAGTTGTCATCATTGATTTCAAATGGTCTATCAAACTCGAAATTGACGCTATGCAAATCGGGCGCCATGTTGCAATGAATAACGGCCTCCTTGTTGGTATTTACGAGGATAAAGGGTAGCGGAACCTTCTCTGCGTGCAAGGTTTCCATTTCGCGTTGTTTATTGTGTCGCACGAGATTGCGGAAACATATTTGTTGCACCAATAGTTCCTGCAGGGCCCGTCGCTTGGCTTGTACTTGCTCCTTTCGCGCTTCTTCTTCTCGTTCGAGTACTTCAATGTCATGATGTGCCATGGTGGGTAGTCCCTTCCAAGATATATCCTTCTTGTCTTTGGAAATGATATCCATGGCCAAGAGGACATTGATGGAATCATAGACCCTACGTCGAATGTTCTTTTCATCAAACTTTCCCTGTGGGTCTTCCTTTTTCCTAGATTCAATGACCTGCTTGACGAGTTCATCGGCGACTTCATTGTAGGTTGTTTGGCCCTTTTCTTCGACCTTCTTGCACACCATCATGGAAAAGTGTCGGAGACCCTTCAACACTTTGGGTACCTGCTCGGTGGTGGCTGTCTTTTTGCTGGCACTGCTATTGGTACCTGTGGTGGCACTCTTTCCACTGGATTTGGCACCGGCCGTCCCAGTCGGTGTGGTGGCTGCGGCGGATTCCTTGGATTTACCAGTGCTGGTACTGGTCGTCTTGGCCTGTGCCGTGGAGGATCGTCGTGGCTGCTTGTTGTCGGATGTCTCCACAGTAGTGGCTCCTTTGGTATTAGCGGCAGTGGCAGAGCGAGTGGCCCTCTCGGAGGAACGAGTTGTCCGTTCGGCGGTTTCATTATTGGGTGTACCTTGGGAAGAAGGAGGTGTTGATTTGGAAGGGTCGCTTGGTTCCACCGTGGCAACTGGCGTAGATGAGTCCTTTGCCTTTTCGTTTGGTGTTTGCTTGGCAGCATCATTTTTATCCATCAAAGACAAGTCAATTGGCTCTCCCGTGTCCATGGGGGATGATGACAATGCCGGTTTCTTCTTGGGCGGCTCGTCTCCCGGTGGAGGGTTCTCTGCTGCTCGCTTGCCCTCATCGCCAGCGGCATTTTCCGTGGCACCAACGCCACTGTCTTCGGGAATGTTGTTCGTTTCTTGCATTGTCGATAGCTAGATGTGTCCTTATTCTTCTCGCCGAATTGTGGGATGGCTTTGCTGTGGAGGGTCTGCCGATTGCCGCCGTGGATCTTGTGGCTCTCGTGACTGGGAGTCTTGAGGGAAGCAATGCTAACGCCTCTTCCTGTCACTTAGACAGTCAAAAATCCAAACAGAAATCCCACGGGAAGGACCCGTCTTACCCACTCTTGTAAGCTACGGTTTATGCGAGGAGTCGTCTAGCTGGCCCTGTGGCCGAACAGTAGGTCACATAGTGTTTTCCTAGCGCCGGTGGCCGTTGCTGGAGGGGAGTCATTGCTTGGTTCTATTCTGGAGGTTTGATCGGACTCACTGCTCCTCGGAGAGGCCACCGGGTTCGGTACAGGCAGCCATCCACGGTAAGGATAGATGGGACGGCAAGTAACCACTGGCAATGTGGCCGTTGCTCGGTAGGAGTCGAGCCATTGGCGCCCAAACAGGTTGGATAAGAGCTATTTTGAACTTGTTGGAATGACTCGATTGTTCCATCCGTACGCTGGTCCGCTGGGCTGCACAGAGGTCAACTACTACCACTAGTATGTCGTGCAAGAGCAGCATGTGTTTAGGTACCGGTACCGTACCGAAACTATTAATAGCTTGTACCGGTACAACGCACTTCAAGCCATTCATTGGGGCCAGAACCAAACTATCGATACCGGTACCACCACGTCGAGCTGGCCGAATTGACCATTCGTGTGCAGGAGTGACTGTCGCTTGCCCTTACAAGCAAGTTGACGGCTTTGAAGCAAGCACACTTTGGGCTTTCGAAGCAGTCTTGAGAGAGGCAATCTTGTTTCTCGGGTCGGGACGTTGCTCTCACATGCAACTACGACTGTACCGGTACCGCACCGGTACCGGTACCTACATTTCTTGCTTACTCGGTTCGTCTAAGAACCATCTGTACGATTCGAACAAAGAACTCGTTTCTTCTACACACCTCTACATGTTCTGCAGAGACTCATCTAGCAAGCTACTCTAGTCTGGTTTCACTCGGCAGCTTCTGCAGCTGCGGGCTCTGCCTCTATGTTTGTAATTCGTCCATCCACTACGGGGGAAATGGCATACGGATCGGCTATGCTCCTCCTGATGTTTCTCTTGAAAATAGTGGCAGCTGCGATCACCGTGGCTTTCACCGTCATGCCTTCCCACCGTTTCAGAACAGAGATTTCCGTAAACAGGTTGCGGAATGTAATGGGCAGGGCTGATTTCAATACAAAGAAACCGATGAAAGTTAGTTAGTTGGTTAGTTAGAAGTGGCAAGAATTCAAAAGACCCAAACAACACGCTCTCATGCATTCGAATCGAATCATTGTAACTCACTGGGACACATTTCGTCGTCAATCAGCACGGGGGCATCCACAAAGCTGGTGTAACCGTCCTTGCCTTTCAACAGATATGCTTTGCTTACAACTGAATACTTCCTGTCCATATCCAATGGTTTAAATGTTTGAGATTCCTTGTCGAATACAAAGACGGATTCCTCCACTATCCTGCTGCCTGCCGGTTTGGAAGGAGCAAAGGAGAACCGCACTCCGTCCACACAGGGGAACCGTCCTTCCATGGCTGGGTATTTGGAGACGCCTTTTTGCCACCACGAAAGTTGGAATGGAATGAGAACGTTTATATGTGTCTGTGAATTGGCGGCAATACGTGGTAACCTACCATTTTCCAGAGCTTCCAAAAGACCCTTGGCCGTCATTTCAATCACTGCAAGAGGATCAGCCATGGGCAAGAGGTCGTGCATGTCTCCCACCGTAAGAGATCCCTTGGGGATTATTTTGTCGGCTCGTAAGGACCCCGAGTTGAGAATGGCCACTTCGGCTCCCGTAGACCGCGTCATGATGTTCGCTACAAAGTTGCTAATGTTGGTTTCCTTGGTTCGAATTTCTTTGAATCGAGCGTCCAAGTCAACCTTGGTTGTCCCGATGATTTTATCCATGCTGGCTGCCATCATTTCCTGGATATCTTTGAGGGCGTCCACAATTTCCGGGTCTTCTTCACCTGCTTTTGGATCCACAGCGACCCGACGATCAGTTGTTTTCAAGGGATGAGTCAACACGACACTGCTGTCTTCTCTCGGTGTCTCCTCTCTCCCATGTAGTTGTACGACAGTGAAATCACTGAAATCGGTACCACTGTTCAAAATTCGTATATTGTTCTTGATGGTACTTTCTGAGCAGCAAGGGAATGAGACAAGCCCCTATCACTCTGTTTCATTGATCAATAACCCACAAGCTCTTACGTACCATAATGATGGTCATGCCCTCCAAGAAGAATGTCGACGTAACCACCGCATTCCTCGGCAAGTTTGTAGTCATTGGGCATTCTCATGTGGCTCATGGCAATAACTCCGTCCACTTGGTGCTCAGCAACAAGCTATGGTGAGTTGTTTTTGGAAAAGCGAATTGAGTTGTACACAGTTTTGTCATGTAGAGTAGAAACCAAACCAAATCACATTGTTGTTGCACACATACCTCGGGTACCCTCCGCTTGATATATTCCACAAACCCTTCATACTCCACATCTTGTGGCTCAATGGTAGACAAGGTATCGATCCATTCCTCTTCTACCAAACCAATGACTAGAAACTTTGCCTTGGGACCATTTTCATTCTTGGTCTCCAACACGATAAATTCGTTACAGCCACCCAACGGCGTGGAAGTATCCTTGTGACGACAGTTCGAACAAATCCATGGAAATGTGCATTGGCTTTTCAAGATACCGAATTCCACCAGACCCAAATCTAAGTCATGATTTCCTAGGCAAGCAGCATCCAAACTCAACGCCTGCACCACCAGACCAAAACTAGAAGATTAGCAGACAAACGAATACATGTGCATACTCATCCAAACAAAAACTTACATTGAGCACTGGCACCATTTGTTTTCCGCGGACAATAGTTGACATGATGCTCGGGGACCAAGCATCGCCCGAGAAAAAGGAAAGGACGGTTCTGCCATTGTCGATTTCCTCTTGCTTCGCTTTCTTCCACTGAGATACAAAACGCGCCGACTTGTCGGCATTGTAGATATCGTTCACGTGCAACAGTGACAACGATTCCATGGTGATGATGTATTCTCGAGAAGTGGTCTAGAGAGGTATCTTCCATATTTCATGGGATGGGTTGGGTTCTCGGTCCTGTTGCCAAAGATCCTCACAGTTTTGGGTTCTCATCTGATATCTTTAAACCCTTCAGTGGGAAGTGGATTTAAAAGGCTTTCATCCTCTAAGTCTACAACAGGAACGAAAATGGGCAATATGCCTCCACCCCAACCCGATGCCACCCCACACGAGCAAGCTGTTTACTCCCTTGGTTTGGTCTCGGCGTCTCAGAGCCAACCCGAAGACTGGCAATAGCTGTGGCAATACATGTAGCAAGTTCTACGGTGACCAGTCAAGCCGATTCGATTCCTTTCAACCCTTTCTACGTTCTGTCTACGATTTGATCTTGGTGGTCTCCTCTGGAGCATTGCGGATTCCTTTGGCGCCTCCGTGCCTTGGTTTACTACATGTAGCTAGCCCGTTTCGTTGGTCTACATCCGGCAATGGACCGCGATGCAACAATAAACCTACATGCTTGCTTCTTGTGTTTTGCATTGTGAACTATCTATTCCTTTTTATAAACTAATTTTTGTCGTATTGTAGTGAACTACTGTATACATTCCTCCGTGCCGTCCTCTACCTAACCAACTGCGGGGACGGGCTATGGGTAGGGTAGCTAGGCCGTTTTGGCCACGGTGGCAACTGCCGGATTCTCCTCGATACTGCTGTCGTCCTCGTCGCTAAAGTCGAGCAGGTTCAGTGCATCCTGGATGACTTCACTGCAGCTATTGGCCAGACTCGTGCCTTCCGCCCTGCGACGGACCGACAACATGGGAGCAGGAACCGGAATACGGTCGAGTTTCCGAGGAGCAGAGGAGCTGCCATGGGTGCGAGTACGGGACGCCATGTATGCCAGGCCAAAGATGGCAACACCCTGTTTGCCTTGCTTGGAGAGAGACGACATGTCTTCCGTGGATTCCTTGCGGCGCACCATCTTGGCGTTTCCTTGGTTGAGTTCCTTGACCATGGTCAGTGCCTTGATAAGGTCGTCCCCTTCCCTGACGGCTCTGGCATCGGCAATGCCCAGACGTCGGGCAAAGATACGGGAACTACGAGAGTGTTTCTTGGAAACGCTGCGGAGCTTCTCGGATAGGACATCAGCAGGGGCGTCCGCTGCCTTCATGGTTTTCTGGCGACGAAGCACAGCCGATGTTACCTTCTTGTGGTTCTGGTCGCAATCTTCCCGGTGATGACGTGACAGATATACTTCCAAGCCACGAGGGTATTCGTTCCCAGGGAGCTGAGCAAAGGCATTGATGTGCTTCTGAGCTTGCTTATCCGTCTCGTCAAAGCAGTTCTTCAACAGGACAGCATACCCCTTCGGTTTGAGCAACTCTGCCTCCACCTTCACCTGGCTTTTCTGGAAGCCTTCGTCACCGGTGCAAGAAGAGCAGCTCTGTGGTGCTACCTCCACTATCTTATACCTATTATCTGCAGCAAACCTAACTCGTCTCCCGCAGCAAGGGGCTTCCTCTTTGGAAGGGCCCGCTGCTGAGGTCATGTTGGGTTTATTCGTTCGTTCTATTTTGATATTTATTTGGTTTGGAATTGTGCGGTGAGTAGGGTTGTTGATTCTGTGCTGCTCTTGTGTGTTGCTTCGGGAGAGCTGATTTGCGACCTTGCCAGTTTTCGATCGAGGATTCTCGTGGGACTCCTACAGAAGAAGGCCGTAGAGATGACATTTTCTCTTAGTAGGGTTCTTCCTTGTAAATTCGTGATGTTCAGTGGCTGTACTAGTACATGCATGTTCTACAGCAACGTTCGTACTACAGGCTACAGAGCGCCACAGACAGCCTCAAAGGAACAACTAACTCTTCCAAAATCGCAGCTGAGCAGAGAGCTGTAGGGGTCCAGTGTTTAAATAAAACATCACCAAGATTAGAAACAGGTTTTGATGACCTGTAAGAAAGTCTCAGGTGGCACAATTGCTTAAGAATTAGATGCCCAAAAGAATGCTCCAATCTCAAAAAGTTCAAGAATAACATTAAACTCGAGTCTTTCATGGTACAGACGTATGCAACCGTGATACCCCTTCTCTGGTTCAACAATAAACCGGATAAACCGTTCAGAATTCAGTGTAATCCACGTACGTATGGTACCGGGCGGCACCCAACAGTACATAATGCAGTCTACAGCCTATGGCCTGCATCAACGACAGCATCTGGCTCCACTCGGCTCCACAGCTGCCCTTCCCATCACTTCAACACAAGTGGAACCAGCAGCAGCCGAGAGCAGCGAAATAATGGGCAGCTAAACAGCTAAACGCTAAATAACGCTTGCTGCGCCTGGCTACCACTCTGATGAGTAGCCGAGTAGTACATGTAGCTACACTGTAGCCAGCCACTCTGTCTGTGTAGTTGGTGGCACCATGATCAGATTGCCCCTCTCCGCTGAAGTCTGCACTCTGCACTGTCAATTGCCAATGAAGCCTACAGCTGCGGCGCAGTCATTCTGGGCAAATGGTGAGGCTCTTGGTCGTGTCGTTGTGTGGTTCCTTTGGAAACTATTACAGTGTCTTGGCCTTCTGCTAATCCAGGGAATTGTACCAGTGAAGAGGCGGCGAACGACTAAGGAAACAGGTAACTAAGGCGGGCTATAGGAAGGCGCTGATTTGAGGGAAGGGGTGGCCGACCAAAATTAATCACAGCATTACTCTCGTGCGTTGGCTTTGCTTGGAGCGTAGGTGGCTTCATTGGAGGCAGTGCCTAAAAAGATTGTTTCTGTTTTTCCTAATACTCTACGGTGTACTACTAGAAAGAAGAAACCCACAGCACCAATACCAGTAGCTCCAGATACGTACACAAAAAGAGAATACAGCGTAGCTCCAGATACACAAAAGAGAAGAGCTCCAGCCACAGATCATGACGGGATGTCAACCTTTGAGAACGTGACGGCTAATTGGCTGACCATTAAAACCTCGGTGGTCATCGTCCACAGCCTTGATTTGTGCATCAAGAGAGAACAGGGTGTTGTAAGGGCCGTTGGGCAGCCAATCAGCCAAAGAGTTGCTTCCTCGAGTGCGAGGGCCATTTGGATACCGTGTCAAAGAATCGATCTTTGCTTGTGGGTGCCTGTAGTTGGCAATTGCACCACCTGTCCCGATCTGGGCTACTCGGCTGGAGCCGGAAAGATAGCCCTGGTGTGCGTTGCTTCTTCGTCCATCACTCTCTTGACTGACACGCTTCGCTCGCTCTTCGAGCAACCAAAGGAAATCTCACGGTGATGAAAGGAAATCCAACAGTGGTGAAAAGCAATCTTGTGCTGCACCGTCGGGATCGGTTCAACGTATCCAAGCAATGTTTGCTTTGCTTCGTGGGAATGCGAACATGGTGCTGGAGCTTCTCGTTGCCGCCTCAGTTCTTCTTCCAGCAGCGAGCAAGCTACCCCGAAAGCAGCATACAGATCTGGAACTGTCACTCCCACCCAACCCTGTCTCTTGGATAAATCCCTGATGAACTGTAAAAATGGTGGCAGCTAACTTTTGACCCGCAATAGGTCCTCGCGGGTTGGAATGGAAGCAGGTTGAGTGGCATTACAAAAATTGTCTTCAAACATGACTTGCTTGTGCGCCGGAATTACTGAGTCGTGTCAGTCGAATCAAGTCGAATCCCGGACAAAAAGACAGCTTGTCTGCTTGATGGTCCCAAACAAAAATGAAGCAGAGGTGCGTTTGTTTCTGTGATTTTAAAAGGTGCACCCAGGATTTAAGCCAGCCAAAAGCTGTCAATAAAATGCAATCTTTTACACGATGCTATCGCGAGAACAACAACATCATGGATCGATCGCACATGCTGCTAAAAGGGGTGCTGAAATCGTTGTCAGTGTCAGCCACCACACCTTTGACATAGCAAGAACTGTTGTTGATAGTAGTGTCAAGGTGCAACGCCCTTTCCCCCAGTGTCTGTACCACCTGTTAACTCGGTGGTAGGTCGCTGAAAGCAGCGATCGATTTTTTCGATTCGGCTGCATGTGGCCCTTACATCTCGATGTGTGCTGGTACTATGGCCCCAGAACCAAGGCGTACTCTCTTCCTTACAGTAAGACGAAGAGATAATGCTTTGGTTCTAGGGTCATAGGACCAGCGCACATCGAGATAATGGACCTCTCTTACTGCTCGATGGAGTGGGTTGTTTGATATTGTGGTCGACCACCATTTGTTCGACAACGGAATCTTGCTTTTTCAATCGTTTGAAACCAAATATTGGCTGGACGTGATAAAGTTCTGTTTTACTACAGGACATCGTGAGCCAGTCATTCGAGACCAACGAAATTGTGAGCACTAACACTCAACTGCTCCAACGGCCAACAATTTGGCGAGTCGACTCGCTCGGTTGATCTAGTTTCATCATCATTACTTAAGGGAAGCTAGCTGGATTTATGGCTCGAACATGAAAAGAGGGAATCCAGCGAGAGTAACACAAAGATTCCTATCGAGCCAAGCTAAACGATTCCAGATTCCTTAATTTATACGAAACATATGTGCGAAAGAACCAATCAACAGTAGCAGCTTTTAAGCTGGCTTACATCCTGGGTGCGACCACCTTAAAGGTGCATCATAGAAGTCTCTTGCAGTAAATCACAACCAATGGTGTATGTACATACTGGTGGGTTGTCATCAGCTGCCCAACCAGCAAAAGCAAGTTTACTAGACAAGCTAGCTAGTTGTAACTTTAGTTATCAGGCCATTGGGACAAAAAAGTCAACACAAAATAGGGAGCACACAACCAGTCGTCACAAATTCTTGTTTCGAGCTTGGCTAGTACCGTACAAGACCTGGTCCTGGCTAGCTTGATAGAGCCTGGTATACAGTATACAAGTAAATGTGCTGTACGGTAAAGTGTCATTAGCCTTCTCTCAGGAACAAGTGTTTGCGCCCTTATTTTCACAACAGTTGTTGGGTATTGCTTCAGAAATGATAAATCACAAAGTAGTAACCTCCTTCACTTTCAGTTATTTGAGATCGACACCATTGCACCTATTGATCAGATGCTTTGCACATTTGCTACGCATATTTAGTAAACACCATCATTCGACATAGAGACTTAGCTAGCCATTTATTTTCGCTTTTGTTCTGCTCGATATCTATATTTTCAATATAAATCAACAGTCTCAACATGAATAATAGAAAGCTGTGCACTACGCTAAAAGCTAGTGTAAAGATCTTTCGAGTGTTTTGAGTTTGAGAGAATGAAAGTTATGAGAGATTAGAAAGCTATAAAACTAATCAACGAGAGAGATCACAACCAAAGACGTAGATCTGAACTCCCGCGGGAGACTGTAAGTGTGATAGAGTAGTTGCGGTAGCAATCCTACTACTCCACGATCAAAAAGAACGCGTGGAAGTTGTCTAGCATAATAACGAAGTACTCCACGCTGGCAAATATCTAGCGATGTTTCATCATCAACTTTGACTAGAGCGGTCATGAGAATCGTCTCAATGACTATCCGAAGGACTATTCATGATCGAACTCAGACCCTATCTAGATCGAGTCGCGAATAAGGCTAAGAGCCGTGTATTGCATTCGCCCCCTGACAAGGTCACAGAAGGAGCGACAAAGTCGGACAAGAGAACATATGAATTTAAAGTCGGGGCACTCTCATGAGAATTGGATGTAGACATGTGAGTCGCACGATGCATCCTACAGGGGACAAGGCCTGTATGGGTGTAATCTTAGTCAAGTGTAGACTTGACGCTATTGGCGGTAGTAGTTCGGAGCCGTACAGTGCCATGTACTTGACGTCGCGTGTGGTATAGTGGACCTGTGCGTGGCTGATCCGTATAACGGTTCTGACACGGAATCATTCATAGTGTCGTGACATGGGGTTATTGTGATGGGACACGCTGTTCTCGCTATTGTGTTTTCTGATAAGTCGGTTGCGACGTTCCTTAATGTATTTTCGGTTTGCTTTGAAACGGATGTTGTGAATGTTGTCACGATTGACGCGCCTTAACTTG